AAACAATCACTGGTACATTTATTTAACCTCTGAATGTGGCCTTCCAGCAGTAATTTTTCAATCTCCTTTTCAACTTTTCCTTGTACATGGATCGGGCAGAGAGGTTACTTGAACGTTGTGCTTACCACATGATGTATTGATCATCCTTTCCTGTGGAACAGTTCTTTGAAGTCTCCGTGGAACTTTTCTTTCCATACCTCCGACTGTTCACACAGCAATATATCAAATCGGGACTTTGTTTTTGGAGCAGGTCTCTGCGTAGAGGTGATATCGACTCTATTTTGCAAATCTAGACCTATTATGCAACGTGTCTTCCGTTCAATTATTAAAAACGTAGCATCAGGGAATTCCCAACCAGCTGACCGTATTTTCGCTTTCAGCGCACCCAATATTGCCATTGTTCTCTAATTATAGTCAACAAATTGTGCTGGCAAATTTAATTGTTCTGCAGGTGTAAACTGTATTTTTTCGGACGAATCCAGTATTTGTTTTGCCACTGACCAATTCAGAAATGAAATCGGGCTCCCTGTATCCACTGTCATATTTATGATTTGATTATCATTTCGAATTAGAGCCTTTAACGATTTCATCTTTTCTGATGTTGAATCTCGTCGAACGTCAATTTTTTTCGTTTCAAGTTTATTATTTCCAGTTTCACTTACTCTGTTTACCTTCACTTTCTCTTTGATGTATCGATTTATCATTTCTCTCTGACTATTGTTTTGTTCAATTGACATAACCTCAAATTCCTAGCACGAATCGAATGTTTGTATCAAGTTACATTCCTCCTCCGAACTCTCTGTGTTCTCGGTTATTTCATTGACTTGCTGTGATCGATAAATCCGTGCAAAACGATTGGGTTTTTCACAGTTCTTACATTGTTTTCCCATAGCCGCGCAATTTTTTAAATGTCCATCCACGAATGGTTTGCCACATCTATAATATTTGTTTCTTATCGTCTGTGTTGTATTTGTTCGGTGCCCTACCATCCGGCTGTTTTCGTCTATTTCGATCAGGATAAGGTCTTTTATTATTCTGATTCCTGTTACCCACCGCCATGATCGATTCCTGTTTGATTTTAATCTGTGAACTCGAATGCGTTACTGCTTGTGTCGATTGTTTACTTTGCTCAAATTTTATAGCATATTTCAATACTTCATCAGGGGGTAACGTTCCAAACGTGAGTGTGTCCTGCAACGCTGGGCTTCTCATTTTTGAGATGAATAGATCTCTGACTACCTCATCTACTAAGGTGTCCAGTGCCGATTTGGCTGCTTGCGCAGTTAATGCGGCATGAAATGCCTCTAATGACTCTCCCGTTTCCTGTGATCTGTTAAATAACTTATGACGCTCATAAATGATACTCTGGCGTTTTTCGAAAGTCTCCTTCGCTAATCGGACTATTTCTTTAAATTCCAATTTCGAAATCTCAACATGGGGATTTTTTTTTTGCACAAATCAATTCTTTCCTTCCGTTCCAAACGCAAGGAATAGCCTGGATACGAGTCGTTTTTGCACTTTGTTGTAGTAAATGTTGTGACCCACTTCAGGCCCTCTTTCTCTTCTTTCTTCATTCTCTGCTGCTACTCGATCCCTTATCAGTCTATCCCGTGCTTCTCGAGCTGCCGTTTCAGCAGCGTTTTCACCTTCTCTAGGCGTTTCCGGACGTGGTTCCGGTTCCTCCAACACCGGTTTTGGATCCTCCAGAATTACTTCTGGGTTAAAATTGTGCTTTACTGTTACAGCCATCAGGAACTGATCAAACCATGCCTTAAAATTCCAAGGCGGGTCGAAGTTCGCTCTGGTCCAGAAAACAGGAATTCCCATGTCAGTTCTGTTATCCTGAGCTAGAAATCCTGCTGACTGCGCCATGTGATATTCCCTAACTGTAGCCAGCTTGTTGGAATAAAAGATAAGATTAACACTGTTAATTTAGCTTTCTTAGCTGATATTATCGAAGTTTCCGTAGCTGAGATTAGTTACTGTTAAGCATACTGACGTATGACACACTATCTAATTCAACTGTAAGATTTTAGCACCACCGAATGGCCTTGACCACACTTACATAATAATAGCATAATGATGTAGAATTAACACATATGATTATTGCAGTTGCAGTAGCTTACAAACTGTCCTCAAGGTTACCTACTGCTAACGCAGTACCACACCTACATTCAAATTTTTCCAAATTTTTTTGTACCTAAACTGTTTGAGCATGTTGTTTCCCTTTGACGCCAATCATAATACTTAGTCTGTGATAGTGGCAGCTGAAAGAGCAAAAAAAAATGAAACATCAAAATTTATGGTTTGTAACTTTTTGCCAAAACTATTCGAGACCAGTTAACGAGCATCCGAAATTCTGAGCGTTTCATCATGATAAGTGCAGTTTCTTTCTGTTTTCTTTTATATCAGACCAGCCTTGATCAAATGCTTACTAGATTTTATTTCTCTTTTATAAGATAAAAAACAAGCAAATTTTTATAAGATAAAAAACAACCAAAATTTCGTAATTTAAAAAAAATACGAAATTTTTATGCTTGGGCTGGTTTTTTTTATTGAGTTCAATTTTGAATTTTTAACGGATTTTTTTTCTACAGAATTTAAAGTTTTAATGAGCGGTAAATGCTTTCAGCCAATCAGGTTGAAGTATTATAATAACATTTTCAAAATACGAGAAAAATTGGTGTGTTCTCTATAACAGAAAAGACCCCGTGAAGGTTCTAATTTTTAAAAATTTATCCCGCTCAGATTAATTTACATATTGAACTGAGACACGCCAAAAAAATAAATTCAATAGACACAAAAAAATCAAATGATAACGAGTGCGAGCTACAATTTTCAACAAGAGGAGAATGTTTCAAATTTTTTCATTGATCAAACCTTTCTTAACATTAATGAAATTTCTTATAATTAAACTTAAGTGCAAACACCTAAAAGTTTTAGTCTGAACGTTCATGGGTTTGCACGGATACAAGCGAGCAGTTTTATTGCTTCATGTGGTCGCTTGGAATTAGAATACGGATTGCAAAAAAAAATTCCATGAAGGGTTGTGAAATTGAGAAATTGAGACAAACAGCCATGAATATTGAAATATCATCGAAAAAATGGGAGATGAGGAGAAAAAATCAAGGCTCAATATGCAATCGTAAGTCACAAGCGAAGAATCTTGAAACAGAAAAGAGAAAAACAGAGGCAAAGAGGAGCTTCGCATCAGTTGTGATACAAAACAAACATAAAAAAAACATAAGTGAAAAAAAATGAAAAATGTGGAAAAAAATTATTTCAAAAGTTTTCAGTTTTCGTTTGTCTCGATAAAAATCCATTGTAGAAAAAATGACAGAAATTTGAATATTCAATTAGCAATGGAACAAATATTGCGGAGAAAAAAGAAAACCAACAATCTTTGAGCAGACACAAATTGAGTAAAAAATATATTTTATAAAAAGTTCTCTAAAGTCTTAAGACCGTCATGAAAATACGCAAACTAAAATTTACAACAATTGCATTTGCAACTGCAATCCATTAGGTTACAGCATAAGAAAACTCCGTGATGTGGCAACAAAGCCGACAGTCTTTGAGCAAATTCAAAGCGGGCAATCTAAGAGCCGAAAAAATTAAAATGAAAAAATTCTACAGTTTCCAATCCCCCTGAATTTACATTGAACAACCTTTGCAGTTGCAATTACAATGAATATTCTTACAGCACGAGCAAAATCCGCGAAGGGGCAAACAAGCTCCGGCCGGGACTCGAACCCCTGAACTTCAAGTAGTAATTTTTCTCTTTAAAGATTGCCGCATATTGTGTATTGTATAACATTGCCGCGTACTTCTTGTATAATGTTATTCGGTTGTAAAAACTAATGCAGTCTGCAAAAAATATCTAGTGCTTGTCCCTCATAATCTTCTCAACCCCTCCCCCCTCTCATTGTGAATTTAATTTTTTTACCAGCGAGTTCATCTTCGTCGTCCACGACTCGTCTCGATGGAAGTTTCCCCTCATGACTCGATAATACAGAGATAGACTCCCTCTTCTCGCTAGTGCCAGGAGGAACTTCTTCCGGTTGTTTTAACTGGCTGAGCCCACTCGCCACTTTTTCTTTACCTGTCTTGCTCTCTCTGCTCTTTCTTTTGCTCTGCTTTTTGTTTTTCTAGATTACAAAATCAATGACTAAACTTGTCTCTTGAACGATACTATAAAGATACTATTACGACTGCTCGTATCAGGGCGAAACCCTGAATGTACCGACTGCGGCTTAAAGTCAATGAAAAAGTCTTCCCGCATTAAACTTCCACGAATAATGATCGGTTATTATAGAAATTGGATAAATTACCTGAGGAGAGTAATACACCAATTGTTAGTAAGGGTAGTTTTAAGGGTTGAGTCAAAGGAGTTCCATGCAGTTGGGCATCAGTTGAGTAAGTACATGAAAAATAATACAATAGTAAATCAGGGATAAAACTAAGGTAAATATAATATCATAAATAGGGATATTATATTACATGGTACGGGGAATACTAAAAGGCGAACGTTAGAAAAGGTGAACTGTTAATAAGGGGGTTATTCAGAAAAGTTGATATTAATCCCGAGTTTTCGTATAAATTGAAACATTGTTTTACCTGAAAGTTTGTCATTTCCTTGTAAGTCATGCTGTTTTTGAAAAGTTGAGAGAAACGAGTGAGACAGCTTGGCTGTAATGTCAAAAGTCAAGTTGAGAGAAAGGTGACCTTAATTGTTTACAATTAACACCCGCCCACATTTGCAGAGCTTGCAAATAAAGTATTGAATAAAATAGTAAGGATACGGTAAAATACAAAGATAAGGGAACCAGTAGATAAGGGAACCAGAAATTGTTCTTTTTCATCTTCATCTTGGTTTGTCTATCGTTGAGCTGATTGTCTTAGTTGAATTGACGAGTCGTAGATTTGTTCATCTTTGTCGAGTTGATATGTTGAAGGCTGAGTTGCGTGATTATTTGGTTGGTTAGCTATTTGGAGCTTGGTTACTGCGAAACTGGGAAAACGCGGCTCAATTTGACCACAGGTCGAACTTTGAATCCAGTTGGCGTTTTCAGCTTCACTGAGCTGACTATTCCATCTTGTCCAGGAAAGGTTTCCACCACTTTAGCAAGAGGCCACAGTCCACGAGGTGTAAAATCCTCCAACATCCAGACCATGTCGTCGGGTTGCAAATTGGAAGTCGCAGAAGTCCACTTTGATCGTTTCTGCTGACCTGGTAAGTACTCTCGAAGAAAGCGATTCCAGAAGTGATCTGCGAGTAGTTGGGATGCTTTCCATGATTTTGACAGAGATAAATCCTTGTCCTTGAAGATACCAGGCGGTAAATTTGGAGTTCCACGACCAAGAAGGAAATGGTTGGGAGTGAGAGGCAGATCATCTTTGATGTCGTCAGACACATTGGTTAAAGGTCGTGAATTCATGGTTGATTCAATTTCGGTCGTGAAAGTAGCCAGTGTTTCATAGGAGAGTGTTCTTGATCCGATGACTTTGTACAGGGAAAGTTTAAATATCTGAACTAGTCGTTCCCAAGAACCACCAAAATGAGGGGCCGCAGGAGGGTTGAATTTCCATTCGAGTGATACGTCCAGCTGATTGATGCTTTCCACAAATTCTTTGTTCTTTTCCAAGTTGTCTAGACATTTCTTCAGCTCAGAATTGGAGCCCACAAAACTTGTCCCACAATCAGAAACCATTTTCGATGGTTTTCCTCGCCGGGCAAAAAAGCGTCTGATACAAAGAAGAGTGCTGTCTGTCGATAGTCCTAATGAGATTTCAAGATGCACAGCTCTGATCACTAAGCATGTGAACAGTAAAATATACGCTTGGTATTGTTTTCCTTGAAGGATGATGGGAAAAGGTCCAACGTAGTCCAATCCAGTCGTTGCAAAAGGAAAATGATTTTTTGATGGCAGTCGATCAATTGGAAGATCTGACATCTGAGGGTAGTCGACTTGTTGTTGCATTCTTCTGCAGGGTATACAACTGTGTATGATACTTTTCAGCATGACGTGGCAGCGAAGAATCCAGTAGTTTTCCTGTGCTATGGCCATTGCTTGTTCCTTTCCGCAGTGGGAATGTAGAACATGGATGTTAGCTAACAGCAGGCGAACATTGGGGTTTTCACCAGCGAGAATGATTGGATATCTAGCTGATAGCATGATAGGGGCACGCGTGAGACGTCCACGAGAACGCAGGATACCGAAGTTGTCCACAAACGGTGCTAATGTTCGAAGTCTACTTTTGCCTTCAATTGGTTTTTCTTTTTTGATGTCTGAAATTTCAGAGACAAAATCTGTCCTTTGGGCAGTTTTAATTATGAGAAAGTGCGATTTCGTTAGATGCAAGAGTTGAAGATCGACCTTCGACTGTTTGTTGATCTTCCGTTTGAGATTTTCTGCGAATAAGAAGCAGTATGCAACTGTCCGTATTAGTCTTTTCCAGTTGCTGAAGCGTTTGATGTCAAATATAGGCTCAAATTTAGCCTCTAATGAAGTAACGAATACAGGAATGTTCTCAAGCCGAATGTTTTCCTGTGAAGGCCATTGAGAAGAATCGTTCAACAGAAATTCCGGTCCTAGTAGCCACCGACAGCTTGAGGTCATTTCTAAAGCAATGTATCCTCTGGTACCGTCGTCAGCAGGATTTAGCAGAGTTGGAACGTGAAACCACTGTTCAGGTTTAGAAACGTCTAAAATTTTCTGAAGCCGATTAGCGACGAAAATTTTGTGTCGTATTTCAGGTGTTCGCAGCCAATACAAAACAGTAGTACTGTCAGACCAGAAATAAGTTTTTTCAACTTTGAGGTCAATTTCCTCTGAAACAAAGAGCGATAGTTGGGCAGCATATACTGCAGCTTGCAACTCGAGATTGGGAATTGTAACACGTTTCATAGGAGCGACTCTTGTCTTTCCTATTATAAACTTCAAAGATGTGGAGCCGTCGCTGTAGACTATTCTTAGGTAGCAAACAGCAGCGAGAGCGAATTCTGATGCATCACAAAACGTGTGAAGCTGGATTGAAGCAGGGTTTTCTTTATCAAAGAAGTTCCTTTGGAATGAAACAGTTTCGAAATTTTCCATTTCGTCTACCCAAAGTTTGAAATCGGGAAGTTTATCCGTGTCTAATGGAGTATCCCACTTAACACCTTGTGACCAAACAGATTGGAGAACTTTTCGAATCCGAATTGTCAATGGAGCCACTATTCCGAGTGGGTCAAATAAAGAAGCGGTATACTTCAGGAGTTTCCGTTGCGTAGCAATGCCAATACGTAGAATTTTTACAAACTTTTTGTTATCGATGAAGTAGCAGTCAGTGTTGGTATTCCAGTGAACACCGAGAACTCGTTGATGTTTAGGCGTTGGATCATTAGGGCTGACTAAAATATTTGGATCAATTGAATCCAGGAATGGTTTACTGTTTGAGTTCCACTCATTCAAGTTGAACCCACCTCGAGATAAAGATCCTCGTAGTTGTGTCATTTGTTGGAGGGCTTCTTCTACCGTTGACGAAGTGACATACAAATCATCCATGTAGATATTCCGTTGAATGATTTCAGAAGCCAGAGGAAAGTCGTTTTTACTGTCTGATGCACATCGTCGTACTGCGTAGCAAGCCACGCATGGTGAGTCTGTGGCACCGAAAATGTGTCGTGTATATTCGTGAGTTTCTAATTTACCATTTTCTTTCCAAAGGTATCTTAGAAAAGGTCTATCCTTTGGGCTGACTAGCACTTGCATAAACATAGCATCTATGTCAGCAGATATTGCTATTTTATTTTGTCGAAAGCGAATTATGAGACCTGTTAAGTTGCACAAAAGATCGGGCCCTTTGAGCAAACTCGAGTTGAGGGATTTACCCTGAAAAATGCTGGAAGCATTTGAGACTCGTCTAACTTTGTCTGGTTTGTTGACATTTGTCACTGGATGATGCGGCAAATACCAAGATTTGATTGCAGTGTCGTGTTTTGCATCTATTTTGGTGACAAAGCCTTTTTCTAAGTCAGTGATGACTGTTGCGCGGTATTTCTCCCTTAAATCAGGTTTACTTTTAAGGCGAAATTCGAGGCTGTTGAGTTGCTTTTCAGCTAGCCAACGGTTATTTGGAAGATCAGTATCCTCTTTCCAAAGAAGGTCAATTTGATAGTGACCATCTACTAAAGTACAAGAGTTTTCGAGAATATCGATTGCTCTTTTATCCGATTTGGAGTGCGAGCGTTTTAAAGAAGCGATGCCTGTGTTTTCTATTTTCATCCAGTTGAGAACTCTCTGGTATAATTTTTCATCTAAGTTATTGTGTGAATGAACTTGTGTGAAGTTCACCGGAACAGATGGAACGGAATTATATTGCGTTTTGTTCCGACCTGTGCATGTCCATCCCAAAAGGGTTTCGATAGCCCAGGGAACATTCTTGGGGCCATAAACGGTATTTTTGATCTCATGATATTCTGGATTGTTGTTTCCGATGACTAGCGATATGCTATTGTCGTTTAAGTCCGGGTATTTAACATGCTTTAAATGTGGAAAATTGTTGCACATTGCGTTTAGTTGAAAAATATCAACTGGGGCCAAATTATTTTCATCTACCGTGAGTACGTCATCGAGCGTCATTGGAGTCGATGTGCTTTTGTATGGTCTAATTTGTACATCCACAGATGTAACTTGAACTGACTTGGTCTCATGATATCCAGATATGGGAAGTGAGTGCTTCTTGTTGACGTCCAAGCCTAGTTGAGTTGCCACTGAGTCCAGTAGTAGAGTTACGCAGCTACCACTATCTAAGAAAGCGTAGGTACAAAGTGTTTTATCACCATTTGATAATTCGATTGGTACAAAAGCTGATTGACCTGATCTCTGACAAGCTATTGCGCGATTCACTGCAGCTTTACTAGGGTTTTTTCCATAAGTATCAGAAGGATCGTGGAGTAGAGTGTGGTGTTTTTTACCACAATTATCGGTTCGACAGAGCGATTTCGAATTGCAGTCAGTAAACCTATGATTCCCTAGACAGTTAAAGCATAAGTGCATTTTTCGGGCATGCTCTTTTCGTTGCTTAGGGTCTAAAGCTTTGAAGTGCTCGCATTTGTAGAGAGGTCCACAGGTGTCTCCACTAGGACAAGCATTCGAGTTTACATTATTCTGAGCACGAGAGTTTTGTTGATCTCCCTGATGGTTAAAGCGCTGATTTTGATTTCCTACACCATTTGTAGTAAAACCATTGAAACGGGAACCACTAGGGTGTTTAGCGTTTCCAGAAGAATTGTTAAAATTGTTATTGTTTTGGTTTCGGAAACCTGTCGGAGGCATGTCGCGACACGCCTGTGCGTACCGTTGAAACCATTGTGCTAGATGTCTCAAGGAGGGTTGATCGTAGTCTTTGTCGATGACGAAGCGATTCCATTCTAATCTCACAGGGTCGGGAAGCTTTGCCAGAGCAGTGTTCAAGTTTGTTGTAGAACAAATATCGTGAACAAAACCAAGTTGCTCAAAAGTGTCCACTAAAGTTAGGAGAAAAGCAGAAAACTGCATGTATGATTCTGGTTGAGCCAGATTTGGAGGTTTGAAATTTGCAAGACGTTGCAAAAAAGAGTTGACAATTCTATTGGTATTGCCAAAGTTTTCACGAAGACGTTGTAGTGCTAGTTCGTATGTGTCGCCGTTTGCACCATAACCAGCTATCATTAGTTTAGCTGGACCAGTTACCAATGATTGAAGATGGATCATCTTTTCAGTTGGAGACATATTAGAATTATGAATCGATGATACGAATACACCATACCAGTGCAACCAATAGTTGGGATTGCCATTGAAAATTGTAGGCTTCAGTTTTGGCACTGATCGACTGAATGTAGTAGAAGTGTCGCTTGAATTAGTTGCCAAAGCTCGATTGTTGTTGTTAGGAGGGTTTGCAGCACTAGCTTGTTGTGAGCTGTGGTTAGGAACATCACTAGCAAATGGATTTGAAAATGATTGGTCGCCTTGAAATGGCGCCGAAAGGTTGTCGTCAGCGGCAGCTGTTCTTGCATTGCCTTGAGTATTGTTGCTCATGGTTATAAGGTTGTTGTTTGGTATATCCATTATGTTTGCAGTCGGCATGGAGGTTGCGGTTTCCTGTGAGAAAATTGAAGTAGCATTTTCTTGAGCGCTGTTATTTGGAATTGTAGAAGTAGCAGGATTTGATACTTGTTTTTTCAAATATTTTTTCACTTTCATTGAAAATACTCGGATTTTCTGTTTCAACTGTACTGTCCAGTGAGAATGTTCTTCAAAATCGTGTTCAGAACCAGCCTGTAACATTTGATCGTTCAGGGTATCAAGTTTTTGTTGGAATTGAGACAATTCAGTGAACGTTTCATTGATGAGTTCAAGATCATCTTCTTCCTCGTAGATGTTGTTTTCGAGCATGTCGATCAAAGTATTGATCTCCATTTCGTGATGACGTCGAAGCGAAACCAGTTTTCGAACGCCAGTCTCTTGAACGTTTTGATTGGTATCTTGCGTTTGGGTACCATTTTGTTCCGAAGGATCGCTGTCATTGTTTTGCGTCGTTTTATTTCTACCGGATGGGGCCATACCTTGAACCAGGAGACGTAAACCAATACCTACCAACTTATACCAGTATATGAATTTACCTTTACCAACCTACCAACTTATACCGAATACCACCGATGCTCGTAAGAAGGAGCGAAATAATGGATAAAGTTTAACCAATTACCACTGTACCTTACCACTTGTACCTACCTCCGAGGGAAAATTGAGCGGTCGTCCAAAGTGTCCTCGGTATTAACAATTAACTGCGATTTTAAAGCTAGTCCAAGAACCTACCTGGTCCTACCAGCCTACCGACCCTACCTACCTACCAATTACCAGTATAAACGGCAAAAAAAACCGGGTGCAAAGATTAGCACCAATGAGTGTTGACCTCCCAGAGGACAACTGAGGATGACGTATTTACCTACCTACCTGTCGCTATTTAGCAGACGACCGAATTGTGATTGCTGACCTCCCAGAGGACAACTAAAGTTGATGTACCTGTTTACCTACCTGTCCTAATACCGTAGATTTATCCCTGTGCAATAAAATTTGCACTTATACCAGTTGACCTCCCAGAGGACAACTTGCCTTTATCGCTGTAGCGTAGCGAATGAGACGAACTAGAGTTGTTCGAAGCAGTTGATGAGCTAAACGAAGCTCGAATGTAGCCACGAACCCAGTGAGGCTCGAAGCAGCAGAGGAAATGAGCTCAGGTAAAGCTCGACAGGAAGCAGCCAAGAACCGAGAGGCTCAAAGCAGAAAATAAGGTGAGCTAAGACGAAGCTCGAATGTAGCCACGAACCCAGTGAGGCTCGAAGCAGCAGAGGAATGAGCTCAGGTAAAGCTCGACAGGAAGCAGCCAAGAACCGAGAGGCTCAAAGCAGAAAATAAGGTGAGCTAAGACGAAGCTCGAATGTAGCCACGAACCCAGTGAGGCTCGAAGCAGCAGAGGAAATGAGCTCAGGTAAAGCTCGACAGGAAGCAGCCAAGAACCGAGAGGCTCAAAGCAGAAAATAAGGTGAGCTAAGACGAAGCTGGAATGTAGCCACGAACCCAGTGAGGCTCGAAGCAGCAGAGGAAATGAGCTCAGGTAAAGCTCGACAGGAAGCAGCCAAGAACCGAGAGGCTCAAAGCAGAAAATAAGGTGAGCTAAGACGAAGCTCGAATGTAGCCACGAACCCAGTGAGGCTCGAAGCAGCAGAGGAAATGAGCTCAGGTAAAGCTCGACAGGAAGCAGCCAAGAACCGAGAGGCTCAAAGGAGAAAATAAGGTGAGCTAAGACGAAGCTCGAATGTAGCCACGAACCCAGTGAGGCTCGAAGCAGCAGAGGAAATGAGCTCAGGTAAAGCTCGACAGGAAGTAGCCAAGAACCGAGAGGCTCAAAGCAGAAAATAAGGTGAGCTAAGACGAAGCTCGAATGTAGCCACGAACCCAGTGAGGCTCGAAGCAAGCGGAATAAGTGAGCTCAGATAAAGCTCAAACAAATGTCATGTCGAAGAACAATGACGAAAATTGAGAGTCCAAAAAGAACTCGAATCAGGTAACCAAGGAGTCGGGCAATAAGAAAGCAAAAGTGTCAGAAAACACTTGAAGGAAGGAAGCAATGAAGGAAGCAAAGGGCCAAGAAAGGCTCGGAAGGAATATACAAGGCGTCAGATAAGACTCGGAAGGAATGAATGAATGAGTAGGGAAAGACTCGGAAACGAACAACAAATGGGTCGAGAAAGACTCGGAAAGGAATGAAACATTGAGTCAGAAAAGACTCGGAAAGGAACGCAAAAGGCAATAAAGACTCTGAACGGAATGAAAAATGAGTCGGGAAAACTGAAGTTTTTTCATAAATGAGTCACAAAAGACTCGGAATAGCAAAGCAACAAAAAACGAATTGAAAGGGGAAAATTGATGAAAATAACTTAATACATTATTCAAAGTAAATGAAGCTATGAACAATTGAAACGTTTAAAGTTTACATGGGTTAGAAATCAAGAGCAATAATTGATCTTTTTTTTTTTTAAATGTAAATCAAATAAACTGCGATTAACTGTAAATAAATGAAATAATATTGTAATGGGGAAGTATTATAACAAGATATAATAAACCGCAGACGTAAAAACTGGGGAGGAAAAACAGTAACTAACCATAAATTTTTGGTTGTGGGAGAATAAAAAACACAGTGTAACGAGCTAATCAAAACTTTTTCGGGGCGCCAATATAGAAATTGGATAAATTACCTGAGGAGAGTAATACACCAATTGTTAGTAAGGGTAGTTTTAAGGGTTGAGTCAAAGGAGTTCCATGCAGTTGGGCATCAGTTGAGTAAGTACATGAAAAATAATACAATAGTAAATCAGGGATAAAACTAAGGTAAATATAATATCATAAATAGGGATATTATATTACATGGTACGGGGAATACTAAAAGGCGAACGTTAGAAAAGGTGAACTGTTAATAAGGGGGTTATTCAGAAAAGTTGATATTAATCCCGAGTTTTCGTATAAATTGAAACATTGTTTTACCTGAAAGTTTGTCATTTCCTTGTAAGTCATGCTGTTTTTGAAAAGTTGAGAGAAACGAGTGAGACAGCTTGGCTGTAATGTCAAAAGTCAAGTTGAGAGAAAGGTGACCTTAATTGTTTACAATTAACAGTTATATTAGGCTTGTATTGTCAGTTTCCAAAAAAAAAGAAATAATCGATTACATTTTATTAAAAATGGGTTGTAATCTTCATGATTAACAAAGAAATAAAGTCCATAATAGTCTGATTTAAAAAAATAGTTTCAAAATTTTGCAGTGTTCTCACAAATTGAGAGTTTGCTTTTGGCTTAACAAATGATTTACTTTACAGCTTTTCTTGCTTAATTTTTTAATTTCTCAATTGCTGACATTTTTGCGAACAGAACACCCCCCCCTTCTCTCTCCCTCTCCTGTGGGGGCTGGTTATTAACGTAACGCCCAGCCATGTTCAACCCCTACGGCACTCCCAATATCTTATTCCACACTCCAGTTTACCCCCTCCCCTACGTTAACCAGCTCACCCACGAGGGGGAGGGGAAAATCTTGGAAAGGGGGGGGGGGGTAAATTGAAATTGAGCGAAAAAACATTAACATGAGATGGGGTGAGGAAGGGTGTGCATGTGTGCGGGGTGTGATGGGGGCTTCACTGTGATGAATCAGTTCGTTCGGGTTCTAGTTTTGCAGAACGCTGTAAGAAAATAGAGTAAAAACTTACTACTCGCAAAAAATAACAAAATTTCATGGTTTTTATGATAATAAATTGACTATTTTGAAACCAAAAATGAAACATATTCTAATATTATGGATCAGGGGGGCGGATCTAGGATTTTCTCGAGGGGGGCGGATTTTCAAAAAATTTCGAAACTTTTGTCCACCTTTTTTTCAGGTCGAGCAAAGTGAATTACCAAAGCAGTGAAAAGACCCTGTTTTGATTTCAAAAATTTGAGCGCCGCAGGCAAAAATTTGAAAAACAGGCCAAAACAGGGCGTGTTTAGGCACGTTTTGGAAAAACTTATACCAAAAATCGTGTTTTTTCGGCGCGCGCTCCCCCCTAAAAATTAGAAAATTAATATATGTTGGCGCCAAAGGAAAGCTTAGAACAATTTTATGATCGGTCGGCCAAAAATGAATTTCCTAAAAAGTACCAAAGGGGTGACCCTTTGGGTCGGCAGGGGGTCGAATCTCTGGGAGAGGGAGTCCGCCCCCCCCCCCCCTAAATCCGCCCCTGTAATGGTTTATAATGGATCGTTAAATGATGAAATTAATCAATTTAAAACACTTAAAATCAATCGTGAAATGGGTCATGATAATTGAATATTTGTTTAAATTTTCCCAATATATACTAAGCAAAATTAAATTTATCCTATAAAACTCTGCGGGTCAAAATTGATTACACAAAAATGCAAAAAAAAAAACGATTTTTTTTTCTTTTTTTTTCATAATTTTATCCCCCAGCTACGTAAAAAAAAACAAGTGATATATTTGAAGCTGATAACAAAAAAAAACAATTTGTTAGAACGCAGCTATAAGAGCGAACTTCCCATTGTAATTTAGAACGTTAAAATTTGACGCTTGCGTTTTACTAAAAACGAACTATATTGCGCGTTAATTATCGCAAATTTACCGGATTTGCAGTTTTTAGAGCTCATATTTATACGAAAAGTAACCATAGGTAAAATAAGTTGTCAGAAGGTTTAAGAAATTCCATGCGAAAAGTCGAATTGGTCTGAAAAAAAAACCCAGCACGATCGCAAATATTTTGTCACTTTGTTCGAAAGTTCGAACTATCACTGTCAATTGTAATTTAGGAAAGAAAAAGGTGAAAACTCCATTACTGATTCTAGGTGTTGAATTTATGCAGCCATAGGCTGAAGTTTGAAGTCACAACTGGTCCCGAATTTCGTTCAACAACTTTTGAATATTTTTATAGAATTTAGGTTGTACAAATTCAAATGTAAATATAGTTTTCAAAATTTGACACTAGCAGTAAAACAAAAACGTGTTTCACAGGATATGAATTGTAAAACTTTGTCCCGATTTTTGAAAAAAGTGACACAAAAATTGTGCTCGGCTGGTTTTTTCTCCAGACAAATTTTGACTTTTTAATCAAACTGTTTTGAACAATTTTTCTATCAATCGAAAAGTTTTGTTGTCTTGAGCTCAAAATAAAAAAGATGTCCTACTTGTGATCCTTTTTTGTAAAGTTATGGGAGTTTAAAGACTGCAAGTTTGACCAACTTGGGACAATTGACGCACGATAATTTTCGTACTGTTAACGAATAAGTAGAGATTTAATCCGTATTAGAAATCGTTCCAAATATGACTGAGGCATGCGCTTTGGTCTATTCATTAAATTTGATATCTGCAAAAAAACTATACATAGCGTGTTGGGGATAATTTTCTTTAAAAAATCAATTCAGAAATTTTTGAAATGTACGCAGTTTTTTTGAAAACTTTTTTTACCAATTATTCTCTTTTAAAACACTTAGAAATTAAAACGCAGTCCGAACATTCACTTATTCGCATTAATAGTATCAATCTTGAATTACCATGCAGGTCGCATTTCAAATTTGAAACCGAAAATTGTATATTTTATTATAACACAGATTTTCTGAATTAAGCAACTAACATCCATTTTACTGATTCTTTGCTGCTGCTGAAACCGTCAGTTGATAGGCAAGGAAAA